TTCTTTAAATAATTAATTATAAAGGTTATTATAAAGGCTCTAAATAACGTTAATTCTTCTCGCTTTTTATTATAATAATAATATATCTAGAAGCTCTCTTTTAATATATTTATAGATTTTACGAGCTTTATTATAAAAGTATTATAATCTTTAATCTAATTTATATACCCTTTTAAGCCCTTTTTAGATATTAAAGAGTTAAAAGTAAAACGATATTTATATTATATTATAATCGGGAGCTTAAAGTCGCTTAGAGGGAGGGAGGTTAATTTAGTAAATTAAACGAGGATTAAGGAAATCGGATATACTTTAAATAAAGTAAAAAATATATTAATAATAATAGAAATATTAATAATAATTTAAAAGCTATAGGGGCTCTTTTAATAGTAATATAAATAAATTAATTAAATAAAAGTTAAGTAACGTTAATAGAAGTATTTACGTTTACGTTTATACTTATATTTATACGAATTCCGATTTAAAGAGTCTCGTATTTTTAAAGAAGCTAATCTTAGACTTTATAGTACTAAGTTAATAGAACTATTTCTAAAAGAGGTATTTATAACTTAATTAATAGGATCTTTAGATATATATCTAAAGATAATAAGTTCGAATCCCGTTTTAAGCGTTTATATTTCTAATCGTAAATTTCTATTTATAATTAAGAATTTAATATTTTTTTTTAAAGGTATTAAAGTCGGAATATATATATATTCTAACTTTATATAGATATTTAGCTATTTAGTAAATCTAAACTATAATATAGGCCTATATTTAGCTATTTAGTAAGATCTATAGGGGCTATTTATTTTACTATTTAACTATTTAATTTAAGTATATTTAGTCGGGCAGTAGCGCTAGTCGACGAGTAGCTCTTTTATACTAATAGTAAAGCCCTGCTCGCCTTTGCCGAGCTTACTCAATTTACGAACATCAGGCACTTCATCCATATTAAAAGCGCCTACCCTCACGTCTTACCAAGATTAGTGGACAAAAAAACCCTACAATCGCTCTCGAAAGTTAGCCGCTGATAGTATGCCGCCTACAGCACTGTTCACAGGGGCAAAGGTAGTAACGTACGAGCCTGACGCAAAACATGTTGAGATTTTATCACCGCGACAGTATCAATAGCGGGTGAGATCATAACATCATTGCATGAACTGAAATTCTTTCCCGTGAGGTGCTCAACCTATGATCAAACGAGGCCGGGTACTTTGGATGGAGCATGCTTGACTTGATGGCCAAGGCTGACCTGCATCTACATCTCATCATCTTGCCCCCGTTCTGCTGTCAATGCTTTATGCCTCCTCAACAAGCTGGTCTCACAAAAGGTGCGAGGCTCCGTGTATCTTTCATAGCTGCTGAGCATTCGTACAACCCGAACTGCGCATCGTTTTTGTTTATATACTGGCAAAGCCGGTGATTCGCAATCACACTATCACGCCACTGAGTTGAACTGTGTGATATAATGTCCATACCTTGCGCTGCGCCACTGGCGCTGCGTATTCCGTTCGGCAGACTGCTGACCTAGATCCATCTTGGAACTCGAATCATTTTTCGTGTTCATGATTGCCTTGGCGCTGTTGCATATGTGCCATTGATAAAGCCCACACCACACCTCGACCTGTTGCATTGACCTTGACCCAATCAACCGAAGCAAACGCCGCTCGCGCCACGTCATGCGGCCATCTTCCAAGTCAAATATATATGAACAGGCGAGTCAAGCTATTTTCGGACAGCAGTAGACTATGAACTGAGGTACAGAAGCGGCCCTATGTTTGTTTAAGAAGGTTGCATAAATGACAACCATCACCCGTTAATTCTCGTGCTTGTCTTGAGCACTACTACATTCGGCAAACAGCTGGCCTGCCTACGATGCGCCTGACAGTTCTTCTGATCATTCTTGATCTTGCCATTGCTCAACTGGCAGGAAACAATATCCGAGAGATTCATCCACCCCTCACTTGGAAACGATGTAAATCTTCTGGGGTCTGTGAGACAATCCAAGGGAGGGTTGTGCTTGACGAAAACTGGCGATGGCTGCGTGATATTGGAGGTTTTAGCGATTGCTTCAGAGGTAATGATTGGACCTATGAGACTTGCACTACAACAGAATCTTGCACGAGCAGGTGCGTTCTCGAAGGCGAAGATTACGAAAACACACGTGGAATCGGCACAGCGGGCGATGCCATCTCCCTTCGATACCTGAACAATCAATCGCTGCCTACCGCCAACTCACGAGTCTTCCTGATGGCAACGGAAACACGGTACCAGACCTTTACACTGCTGGGTAATGAGATTGCCTTCGATATTGACATATCCAATGTCGCTTGTGGACTGAATGCGGCCCTCTACTTTGTTGCCATGAGCCCCGATGGGGGATCAAATGAGTTTCCGACCAATCGTGCAGGAGCGAAATATGGTACAGGATACTGCGACGCGAGCTGTCTTCAGAGTCAACGATACGTGGGCGGCAAGGTCTGAGTGCTACTCGAGGCCGAACAACCGCAGCAGCTGATTGTTTAATTAGGCTAATATCAACGGGTGGGAGCCTTCTCCCTACGACTCTGCAACAGGTATAGGCAACCAGGGTGCCTGTTGTTCCGAATTTGATGTGTTGTGAGTCGTTGGCTGCTCGTACAATGAATAAGCTGTTGTGTCAACGTCGGTTCTGATGCTGTAATGGCCTGCCTCATGACTAACCTCATCATTAGCAACTCCAATGCTCATTCGTACTCGGTGTCTTCAAAGCTTTGTCACAGGAATAGCTACTCCATTTGCGAGTGGGATGAATGCAACCAAGGTCGACTGCCGGATTGCGACAGATGGGGCTGCGATTACAACCCATATAGACTTGGAGCCATTGATTTCTTTGGCAAGGGAAAAACAGTCGACACTACGAGGCAGTTTACGTAGGAGTGCCTTGCGACATTCATTCGTACAAATCGCTAACTCCTACTCAGTGTCGTCACCCAATTTCACGAAGATGTCGTGACACAGTTCTTCGTACAAGACGGGCAAAAGGTCGAGACGCCTACACCTATATTCAATGGCATTTCCAATACAGGTGGAATCAGCTCAGAGTATTGCGCAAACTCTGCTGTCGAATTCGAAACTCGCGACATGTTCAATCAGCTGGGAGGTTTTCATCGCCACAATGACGTTTTGCGACAGCCAATGGTGCTTACAATGGCAATAAGCGATGATGTAAGGACACCTACTCTGGTCTAGACTACCTGACAGTGTGACTGCTGATGAAGAAAAAAATAGCATTGGTTCTGGAATACCTGGCTTGATTCTATGTTCCCCGTTGAGGCGGAAGGCATGCCGGGAGTTGTTCGCGGAGATTGCCCATGGAAAATGAATGAGCCTCATCTTGTCAAGACCGAGCAACCCGACGCGTAAGTCTTCTCTTCTCATCTACGACGGCTTTTTCTGAAACATCACAGCATTGCTCACTGGGCAAACATTCGCTTTGGGCCCATTGATTCGACTACCGACTTGTGAGCGCAGATGGATGATTCTTGTTGACATGACTTCTGGGCGTTTGGGGAACACGATTTGAACGCCCGAAGAAGGGGATGGGGGTAATACGAGACAATTCTTATGGGTTACCCCCAGAACTTTCGATGCCTCAGCCTGATTAACCACAGATCTTCTTTCTTGTTTGCCACCGTTGGTCTCCTTGAGGTGTTTTTCGAGAATGTTGGTGTGTCGCTTACTTTGTGAGCAAGATAGTTTCAGAGCCTGCGTGTATCTTGAGCACGATTTTGATGGAAACCACCGTTGATCATATGAGAAATCAACGTCAACAATGAAGTCCTTCGCCTCTAGGATTCAAGGCCAGAGCGGCGTTGAAGACTCCCGCTTCAACGATTTGAGCTTAGGCATCTGGTGGTTATCAACTGCATTGCCAACTTTGATTATGAACGCCGCGACCTTGGGCATCTCGGACCGAGATGGCGAGGCCCTACCTGGAAGGATTGAAATCCTTATCCGCGCCTCTATAGCAGCGTCAAAGGGGCAAAACAAGAGGGCACGACTATGATACGGAAGACTGAACTCTCCCTTGATCTATGCAATGAAAGTTCTCTGCCAGAAACCTCCCGTTCTTTAGACTTTGAAATTTGTGTGTTACATCTAGTAGACGACGGCTTGGCGGCCCTCTAGTTTTTCTGCAGCGCCTTTGCCGGCCGATAGCCCACGTAGCTAGGACCACGCGGCCCTGAAGTCCGTTCATTGAACGACTTAATGCACCGATCAGATGCAGAGGATTCTGTATCAGGCGCAGGCTTTTACAAAACCAGGTAGGAATTGGTCTGTCATGCTGATTAGGTTCACAGGCAAATGCGCCTAACCAGTAGAAAGCGGCTTCGCCTGTTAAGCGCCTCTGATCTCGCTATGCGCTCGGCAGACCGCCACGACTGAACATTAAGGGGTGGAAATTGGCTAACAGACCCAGTAGAGGAATCATCGAGCATGTTGCGAAGCGGCCCGTGATGCCAGGCCACGCAATCTGTTTGTTAGATGCAGCTGATCGTGCATATTGCAAGATCAACAGCGCCGGAGTAAGGGTTATCGTATTGGTTCGAGGGGCGGGGCCCCGGATCCCAAGATCCGATTACGTGGAGAATAGATGAAAGGTTAGAACGATTCAGGTTAGGGTGTGTAGGGACTTACAGATTGAGCTTGTCACAGGTTGGTTATGTGTGTGGACAAAAGTTCCAATAAACATGTAGCAAAAGTCCCAGTGCCTCATTGTCCACCCCAACTAGTCCCTCAACCGACCAAGGTAACGTGGATGATGTTTTCGACTGACGCATGTTGTGATCACTGGATCTATCAATGTTGTTGAAGCTATGCGTAGACATGATAGTTTCTGAGACCGATCAAACACATATATACTGGCCCAGCCACGATGCTCTTTGTGCTTTTGATCATCACCCCATCATCAGCCTCGTCTTGTCTCAACAAACCAACCAGTCCAAGCCTCGCAATCCTCAAAATCTCTCGAAATGAAGTTCTTCGCCATCATCTTCACTGCCCTGGCCGTTGGCGCCATGGCCGCCCCTGCTATCGAGGCTGATGCCGCTGCCAACGCTGCCCGAGGCATCGCTGAGCGTGACGCTCTTCAGAAGCGAGCCTGCGGTCAATGCGCCGGAGGTTCCCGTGTCTGCTGGACTTGCGGCGTTGGCGGCTGCAGCTACTATCAGAACAGCTGCTAAGCTCGCTCACAGAGGCGCGACAGTCTCAAGACGAAAAGTACATTGTAAGTCTGAGTATATGAACCCTGTGTCCGACACGCGCTCATGACAAGGACCATAGAATGAGGCGTTCGCAAGCCCCTGGTTTCGTCATCTCTCTCGCGAGGCCTCCATGTCAGATTGAAGTAGGGAAAGTGATGCAAGGAGGTCGTTGGTTATGCTGCAGCTTGTGGAAAGTGGAATCTCAAGTCGTATTCTATCGAGTCAAATTACAATAGAATCTTGAGGATCCTTACCGAGACATTCCAATGGTGAAGCGATGCCTTGTAGAAAAAGACGAGTCACTCATATCGCACCTTCGGGTCCCTTCTCGTCACTGCAAGCGTTTAACGAGTGAACCCGAGCGATCTCGGCACTTAACAAGGAAGCAAAATAGCAACACTAGGAGTTAAAGACTTATGCGTACAAATTTAGAATAGGGTAGTCTCTTCAGACCTGAATACCTGGTAGTCACCCGTAATGATGCTTCATCGCCATTCCAAAAATTTCGAGATCTTGCGCCGCATCTTGGGTGGTCGTCTTGGGTCCCTTCCCTTTAGTGACAGCATCCCACCACTCCTTGAGCTCATGGGTGTAAGGATCCTCGTACGTCTTGCGAATTGTAGTCTCCTTATACGCTCCATCGTCGTTCTCCGCGATGTGCATGGTGACCGGCAGCCCCTTGACATATGGTGTGTCGTATTGCAGGCGGACTGACTTGGTGTTACTATAAACCTCAAGATGTGCGTCAAAGCGAGGGTTATTGTCAATTCCAGACTCATAAGAGACAGTGAAGCCAGGATACTTGAAGAGGACACTAAAATGTGGTTTGTAAGTAACTCTGCGGCAGATAGCATGCTGGCCTTTACTGGTCGACTCACTTCCAAAAGGGAAAGCCAAGAGAGGAGCCCTGAACGCTGGTTGGCATTCCCAGTACTTCTCGCATCAGTGAGAGGTCATGAGATCCAAGCCCACAAAGGATTCGCCACGCCAGAGACGATTCTTTTGTGACTGGAACGTCTCCACACTCTGCAAGTGCAGCATTGACAGCTTGTTCATGTCTTGCTGTTTTATCAGCCGAATCCTCCAGCCTGAAATCGGTAAACCTTTCCGGAAATGTCCCGGACTGATTCACAAAGGTCGAGTTGGCCCCGATGATGTCTTTGAAAATCTTAGCAACATCTTGCGAGATTCGACGTGTAGGCTTACCTCGGACACGGGCATAGAGAATTTTGTCCATCCCGCCAATCTCCCTTATGGCGTCCTCAACGGGTGCAGCGTACCGTCTCATATAGCCCACCATGACAGAGCCTCGACTCTGACGTTCGGCCTCAGCAATCGTACCGATATCCTGCCTTGTCAAAGCCAGCGGCTTCTCAACGAGCACATGTTTGTGATGCTTCAGAGCAGCCAGGGCATGCTCTGCGTGGTACTCGTCTGAACTTGCTACCAAAATGACATCAACGTCTTCTGAGGCGCAAAGGTGCTCCGGATCCCGGGTTGTTTTGACAGTGCCTGGTATCTTGGCTGCGCAGTGCTTCAAGGCGGCTTCAGAGACGTCGCACAAGTACGTGATCCTGAACCAGCTACTCATATATAAGAGGGTAGGGATGTGAATGACTTGAGCGACTTCACCGCAACCGATGATTCCGACATTGAGTGGGGCTCTGCCTGTTCCAGAATTCATAATGTCCGCCGCGTCGAGACTGTAAACTGCGAATGTTGTCAATCCAAGCAGGGCCAGAGCGGGTTTTGATTTCCTCTGTAGTGCATTGTGGCAGGATGCACTTCCTCGAGCCTTCTTCGTACACCTATTATAGTCCGAACGTGCCTAGCACATTAGCCCAACGAGATCCTTGAAGCGTCATTCTCGGGATGGCCCCCGAACCACCGCCGCTGAGCATACTGCTTCTCACGAGCGATGAGACGCCTATTGCTGGAGAAGTGGGACTCTTGTGCTCGAAATCCAGACTAGACCGAAGATGGAAACAGCTTTGACGGTTTACTGTGTAGGGACGGAGGTCATCTTTGCCCCGGAACTCCCCGAGCCGTCGTCTTGTTTGGTTCTAGGCCGAAGCTTCCCCACTCGTTTTGTAGCTCGCACTTACGCCCCGAGATTCCGCGGCGCGACACGCCTTTCAATCTTTCAAGGAACACCAACAGCGGAATGCCAACCATGCAGTCATTATTACCCCTCGACGGCAACTTTTCCTCCCCCCAAAGGGACACACATACGGCTCAAGCCGCTCATTCTGCATCTCCGGACAATTCAGCTCGTGTTCCCCGTGGGGGCGGCACGCCTCCGGATGCAACAACAGTCGCCAATAGGCCCCGAGCCCCCCGCAAACGGGACCGTGGGGAGGTGTCAAGGGCTGATGTCGCGTATCCACGAAAAAGGGCGACTGCAGCCTGTAGATTGTGTCGGTCTAGAAAGGTGAAATGCAACAATGCTCGACCAACCTGCGGAAATTGCTCTTCACACAGCGCAGTATGCGTATACGAAGACTCAGATGATGTCTCTGCGTAAGGAATTCGCCCTCATCTGTGCAGGTCAAGCAACTTTTCTTGGCTCGTCTCCCAAATTGCTAATGCGATGCACTAGATTTGATCCTGCTAGCATTGCCATCCTCGATAAATTGAATCAGGTACTCTCCAGGTTGGACCGCTTGCCATCGTCTCCAGGCCAAGGAAATGGCGGCTTGGCTGCGGAGCTCTCGTACGCTGCCGTTTCGACGCCTAGTAACTCAGTCCCACTAGCACCTCGCGGAACCACAGACGAGGCCCCTGTCGAGGTTCAAGACATCTCAAGAGACGACTTGTCGATCCCATCCGCAAGGACGACATGTGAGGCTGTCCTTCAGTGGCCAGTGCTCGAGTGCTGTTATCCCCCGAATTACATCATCGACGCTGTTTTTGAAACGGGTATTGTGGATAGCGACTCTGAAGAGGAGGATGAGAAGGAAAGCTCGAATCTGTCGCTATTGAACAAATCCAGAACACATGGATTCAACGAAGAGGATGTATTGCCGTTGGTACAGAGGTTCCTCGATCTTGTGCACACCAAAAATCCAGTTCTCGAGGCCGACACTTTGTGGTCTTATGCCCGGCGCGTCGCAGAAGATGGACTTAAGTGGGACTCGAGGTCTTGCATGGTGGTGAGCATGTCTCCAAGAGGAGAGATAATCGTCTTGTTGAGTTACTGATCAGAGCACCCACAGCTGCTTGCGTGCGCTCTTGGCTCTGTAGCCCGCTCGTTCCCAGAGGGTACCTCGATGCCCAGCCCTGGCGCCACATCTTCGCTCAAGTCTCAGGCTGAAAGTCTTCACAGCGGCGAGGTCTACTACAACCTTGCTCGTCGGAGATTTGGTTTGCTCCAAAAGGGATTACTCGCACCCCAATGTCATTTCTTCGCAGGCGTTTACATGATGTACACGCTGAGACCATTGCTCGCATGGACACAGTTCCATTCAGCTTCCAGATCGTATCATGTCTACCTTCAGTGCCAATCCCGCAGGACGAACTCCCTGACAAGCGGCTCAAGGTCTGCACGGCGTCGCCAACTAGAGCAGCGACTTTACTGGAGTTGTTACAAGTCTGAGTGCGAGCTCCGAGCCGAGATGGATCTTCCCAATAGCTCGTTGGCGTCGTTCAACTATCCGGATATGCACCCTTCACCGCCTGACATGGATACACCGAGTTCCGACCCGGTGGACCAGGCGAACCAGAATGCTGGGCACCCACCATCAGTGCCAGGCCGTCTATCAGCTTCTTCGATACAGCAGCAGGAGGAAAGCTGGTACTACTACTTGACCGAAATCACTCTCAGGAGGATCGCAAATGACATTCTGAATGAGTTTTACCAGAATGGACATGAAGGGTGGAATACCGAAACAATCGGCTTCATGGCTCAAGCAGCACGCGGGTTCGAACAGCAACTATCTGACTGGTATGAACCCATCGGTTGATCATCGTCACATGTGGATCAATTGGGACAAATTTCTGACACGGATCATCACATAGGTACGACGGATTGCCACTGCCGATCCGCTTTGATGACTTGGAGCTGTGCCTACGAGAGCTGCCATACATGGTCAAAGGTCGAGTCTATGAGATCAAAACTTGGCTCTACCGCCCGTTTCTCTATTACGCAATTCACAACCCTCTCGGAGCACCTCATCGGGCCACGGTTCAGCCACTTGTAGACCAGGCGATATCGTGGCACCTGAGCGGGATTAAGGGGGAGCCTTTGTTTCACCGGCATCATGGCTCTTGGTATGGGGTCCGGGTAGCGGCTACATGTGCATTTGTTGTGCTGGCGGCAGTCAAATCCGGCAAAGTCACAATGCCTGTCGGGGTAGACTGGAGAGCTGACATGCGCCAGTGCATTGAGAGGATGCGATTTTGGGAGGACGAAGGACCTGGTATCACCCGAGCTATCCAGGTCTTAGAGGACTATCTGCAGTGACGAATGCGAGACCTTGCCAATGGCAACCGGAATCTTTTTCCGTGACAGGGGAATGAGAGCAAGATCAAGCTGATGCAAAGGAGCCAATCGGTACTGTCAAAAGCTGGGCCCATCCCAACTACGCAAACATGCCATGCGACCTGCAGATGGCACTAGAGCTTTCAGCTGGATTCATCACTATGGTCGATAGAGCGAGTCAGATCCCTTCCCTGCAGAGGTGACCGAGACTCCGCGCGGTCCGCATCACTACTACCCCAGGTTTCCCCAGATGGCCGCTAGCACCCCGGATCTCGTGCATGGTGTGATCGGGGATGAAATAGTCCGCGCTCTATTTTCCATGCTCACATGCCGAGTCTACTGAAAGTTGATATATATGGCCAAGGAGTCTGTCCGTCTATCATCGAGAAGCCAACAACCACATCAGGCGCTCACCCACGCATCAGCCAGATACCTGTCTTACTTCTGCCGGTTCTTTCTTCATTGAGCCATCCTCAGCTTGGCACTGTCATCGGCGTCGCAATGTTGGGTAAATCAAACAATCCGAAGCCCAAAAAGTCTGCCATTGGCGACGACCTGGCAGAACTCATACCGAACGATGGTGTAGCGTGGTACAGAAAGCGCCACCTTCTCCGCCTCAACTATTACTGTCTTTGTATGTGTCTTCTGGCGGCAGCAAACGGATACGACGGCAGTATGATGAACGGTCTCATGGCGCTACCGCAGTGGTTCAACTTCATGAATCATCCCAAAGGCGCCTGGTTAGGATTCATCAACGCTATTCAGGCTCTGTCCTCGACGCTGGCTTACCCGATGGTGGCCTATTTTGCGAATCGTTGGGGTCGCAAGAAGGGCCTTTATGTTGGATACTTCTTCCTGGTACTTGGTGCTCTTCTACAAACCTTAACACCAAACGTTGCCGGCTTCGTCATCAGTCGCTTTTTCTTGGGCCAGCCAAGTGCATGGTGGGGTGGTCTTGCCCCCCTCCTCATCACAGAGATTGCATATCCTTCGCATAGAGCTCTTCTGACGTCTTTGTACAACTGTGGATGGTATATCGGATCAACACTGGCTGCGTGGGCTACTTATGGTACACGCAACTATGCTTCCGACTGGGCGTGGCGGATCCCTTCGCTCCTGCAGGTCGCTGTGCCCCTCGTCGTCCTCCCTGGCGTTCTGCTGATCCCCGAATCGCCTCGTTACCTCATCTCCACAGGCCAGATGAGCAAAGCCAAGGACATTCTGACCGAGTTTCACGCTGGCGGAGAAGAGAACTCCCGTCTGGTCGACTTTGAAATGGCGGAGGTCGCCAACGCCATCGAAGCCGACAGCAACGCGGTCAGCAGCACATCCTGGGCAGAGCTTTTCGCGACAAAAGGGAATCGCCATCGAGCCTTCATCTCGGTGACGCTCGGCATATTCGCTCAGTGGAACGGCGTCGGCGTCGTATCATACTACCTTGCCCTCGTACTTCAGAGTGTTGGCATTACATCTGTGACGCATCAGACACTTATTAGTGGGTGCCTGCAGATCTGGAACCTCTTTTTCGCCGTGCTAGCTGCTGTCAACGTAGACAGGGTTGGCCGTCGCCCGCTCTTCCTGCTAAGTTCAGGTGGCATGCTGGTCAGCTACATCATTATCTCGGGCTTGTCCGGCAGCTTTGCGCAGACGGGGACGAGCTCCGTCGGCCTGGCTGTCGTGCCATTCCTCTACATCTACTACGGATTCTACGATCTGGCCTTGTAAGTCATACCCCTGTGCTGTAGCAGCTGTACCATGTTGTCTGACCAGTGATGAAGCACACCCCTCGTGGTCTCGTATCCCGCAGAGATCTGGCCGTACCAGCTTCGTGCCCGTGGCATTGCCCTGACGCAATTGTCGACCTACTTTGCCATCTTTTTCAACATTTTTGTCAACCCAATTGCGCTGGATGCTATTGGGTGGAAATATTATATCGTTTTTGCTGTCATTCTGGTTATTGTCACAGTCACCGTCTACTTCTGTTACCCGGAGACAAAGGGCCACTCTCTGGAGGAGATGTCCGTTATCTTTGACGGCGTAGAGGCTGCCATCATATCGGAGAATGCCGTCATGGTTATCAAGGGAGCCGATGTTGATCACAAGGAAATGGCCTGAGCTTTCAGAGCAATAGCGTGTACCAAAAAATACGACAGACAATTCACGCGTTGTTGCGCTCAGTCTGGTTGATGTGCATCATCTACAAAAACTATGGAACCGTGTCACGTCAAGCTGTCTGGGTCCCTAAAGTTCCTACAGATCTACCAGGTGCTCGGCCTTGTCACACACTGGCTCTTGGTGGCCTCGTCAACTGGGGCGTGGCGATCAGGGTGGCCATACCATTGGTGGCGTGAACAAGAATACATCTCTACCGGACGCCTGAAATATCGGAAATCTGGAAACCCTGGAATCGGAAGCATTGTCGTTGGAGGTGACCAACACAAGGTCTGTGGATGACGGTCTGAAGTGCAACCTCTGTCATGTGCTGAAGAGCGGATTTCGTGCGGTTACAATTGAATCGCGAGCTCGCAAAATTTGTTTGCATTCAGCCTGCCACCTGTGATCTACTCCCAAGACACATATTGTGTAAGCGGGCCTGTCCGGCAACAGCACGTCCTTTTACAGTGGATGAATTATGAAGATCAGGCAAGCTATTCATCGATTCAACAGACACTCCCGTCCCAGCCTAAGCATGTCTTGAGAAAGGCGATAATTTTCGTTGCTCGTCTGCTCGCTAGAGAATCACCAGGTGCTGCTGATGCTGGACTAACTCCACGTATCACCAGGCTTCAGCGCCATGCCGAAGCAGGATAAAAGCCGGTGGATTGGACTACATGGTTGTGCGCACGACAGATACATGGCCCCAAGAAGCACCACGAGCGTCGGCACGGAGACATGGCAGCCGACGGAACGCATGAACTGAAAAGTCGTGACGGGACATGATTGGCGTTATGAGGTTGGGCGAGCGCAGGCGTGTGGTTGACTCGACTATAGTGGGTGATGCGCCGGCAGAATGGCAGGCCAAGCCTGGAGTTTGGTACCGGTCCACCCCATCGGATGGGTCAGGATGCATGACACACGTAGCCAAGCCCTCTTCTAGATGCAAATCGGTTCATCATCGAAGAGAGTCAGCGAGAGACGTAGATGGAAGTCATGCCCGGCCGGAACCAGAGCAAGGGGCCGAGATCAGAGGATCGGTGACGTGACTTGACAGGTAGTTTGATGAGCACTGAGAGCGGCGGGGGCGGGAGTAAGCGATATGGGCGGGTTTGAGGGGGTCATCGTGGCACCCAGGTTCATGCGCAAGGAGGACACTCTTTTGGAGGAGAGAGCAAGGGCTCTGAATCATTCGCAACGTGCAAGAGAAAGGAAGGTCAGTCGACCAACAACCCAGCTGTCTGGGCGGCCTTTGAACTGGCCATGTGGTCGGATAGAAGGCCGTGGACTGTCGATCTCATTGCACGAGATTGGTTCAGGTATAGACCAGAGAAAGGGGATAAGGAATGTTTCACGGAGTCTTGACGAGCAGGCATTCGTCCACATCGTGTCGCACACAAACAGCTTGCTATCCGCCACTTCTGATCAGGACGCCATGTCGGCCACCCTTTTTCATATCACAGCGCCCGACCACAACCACCAGCAAACAATGGCGGCCTCAAAGAGCAGCAAAAGCCCCCCTCGCGTCTGCTATACTCGCGACGCGATTGGCGAAGGATGAGCTCTAGGGCCGTGTTTCATAAATGGGCCTTGAGGGCACTGAAGGCTCCTTGGAACCCAGCGCTCCGTCGCACCACGAGCGAACTTTCAGGGGTTCCGAGACGGCCAAGCGTCCAATCGCGCCCCCGTAGATGCCCACCAGGTCCCCATAATAGCAGCGTCAGCCGTCTGTTCTCACTACATGCCTCACAAGTCGACCGGATTTGTACCCCATCGCCGGCGTCGGGGGCCCAGATCCGAGCCCTTGTGCTGCTTGGAACTCGGGTGTACGGCCGAGTATGCCCACTCGCGGTCAATCGGACGACGATAAGGCCGATTTCTCAAGAACCACACCATCCGAGAAGGGGTCGTGCTCTGTGCCCGTGCCGACGGAGAGAGGAGGCCCAACCAAGATGGCTCGCGTTTCAGACTCTTCGAAGCAGCTCCTCAAGAGTCCGGGGGCTCAGGCATAGGGGAGAGGGCAAGCTGCTGCACATCAAACTAGACAGTCCGCATCATCGACGTCTTCATCCCAGTCACCCTATAGTCAGTGAACTTATTGTTCTGACGTTGATCCTCTTGGTCCCTCCAGCCCCCTCCTCTCCGCTGATTACCATCGCCCCTGGGTTCATCCTCACGATCTTGACATTACTCAAGATCACCACTACCAGGTAACATCGTGTCCGCATCACGCGTTTGCTTCCAGGTCTGATTACGTCGCCACTGTTCGGTCTGGCTTTGACCGGCTGGCGGCGCTCTCCAACACCACTTTCGACCAGACAATGAAGACCGAGACGGCCTCTCTCCTGCTCCTCGCCGCCCTCAGCGTGGCCGAGGAGCTGACGCCAAATGATGTTCCGCTCGCCTGTGCCAACATGTGCGGTCCTATCGTTGAGCTGAGCTTCAAGTGCGATGTCGATGGCACCGATGACCTGCGAAAGTTGAAGAGGCGGAAATTATCCAGCCTGCAGCAGCAGCAGCAACAACAACAATCAGCACCGAGGGCCAAGCGTCAGGCCGATCCAGAACCGCAAGCACCAGCACCGGTCCCCAGCTCAACGAACAATCAACAAGCGGCCGATGTCATCTTCATCCCCGGTTCCATCGGCAAGTTCAAGACAATACCGACGCCCTTACCACCAGCCGACACAGGCGTCCCCTCGATGGCCGTCACGCCCGCCGCTCCGGCACCAACACCACCAGTCCTCGATCTGCGACCAACAACGACGCCGACGAACCTCAATCCCAACCTACCCATCCTTGCGACGCCAATTCTTCCCTCGGGGCCAGCCTCGACGCCCCTCGCAACGACTTCGTCCACGCAAGTGCCGCTGCCCGTGGGCAATGACGCAGACGCCGGCGACGGCGCGGACGCCGGCCCCGCCCCCAGCAACAGCCTCAACGGAGACGTCGGCGACATGGTCGACGACGCGGGCAACCTATGGCCCGGGCAGAAGGGGCGCCAAGCGGCAAGCGACCTCGAGACGGCGTGCATTTGCAGCAACACGAGCTTCAACGTGCGGCGTGTGGCCGGCTTGTGCGGGGACTGTCTGCAGCAGGTCTCTGGCGATCAGGGGCGTAAGTGACACCACCTTCCCGCGACTGCGACTCAAGCATCTTGAGAGAAACAAAAGGCACGACGCTGACTACTGGCAGCGATGAGGGCGATTCTGTCATCGTGCAATTTCACGACGGAGCGGTATGAGCCGGAGAAGGAATCGCTCGTCGCCAACGTCAGGGTCGAGGCGACGAAACCGAGCTTCACGCAGACTGCGGCGGCGGCCTATTCGTGGCGCGTCTCGGGTCCGATGTGGGCCGTCGTCGTTGGAGCGGGCATGCTGCTCGGGATGGCTTGGTGATGATTGCGAGCATGCGTGTCTGTCTGTGGCGGGTTATGAAATCGGCGTTGCACCACTACTCGATACCATTGTTTCTTATTGTATGTATATTCTTTTTTCCAACATCGTTTCATGACGACAGAGAGGGCTTCGCCTCGTGTTATTGATTCTTGCACGGCAATCGACGGGCCTCGAGAGCTGCTTCGCGGGCCTGACATAGTATAATATTAGCGGCCCTGATAAGACGGCAGGTTTCCCAGCAAATAAATCTTGAAACTGAAAATCCATGGTCAATTCACTGCTTGGTTTACAAATATTGGATCTTGTGACAGGACCTGCGTGTGTGCGCGCGTTGGTCGACTTTGCATCCCAAGGACTCGAGGATTTCTGGCACTCGTCGGCCCGCCTGTTTAACTCGTTGACGAAAGGTCATCATCTCCGATCTTGGGCATGGGCGACTTCGTCTTGTATGCCTTAGTAACAACATTCAATGAACTCCCAAGGGTCAGCCAACTGCATTCGGGCTGTGTGCTGGCCTACCCCCCGACGCCGGCAGTGCCCGATTGTCCTTCATGCGCAGACTGTGGTCCGACAAAAGCCGCACGATCGACATGGTTTCGGCATCCGATGAATCCCTAGCCGACTCGGTGACCGTGGCCCTAGCAGCATGCTACTCTCAGCAAAGTTCATTGTCGTCCAATCAGACCCCACACGAGGGAATGTCATTCGAAGAGCATTGACAGAACAATGAGCACAGTAGAAATGACGCTCGAGCCGGGTGCCGAGCAGAATAGCCGCAATCATGTTTCACGAGAATGGTCGTTGGGGTTCGCTGCGCCCAGCCAGGGACGTGAAGCTGAGAGTGTGCAGTATTCGCGGCCTCTGATTGGTTCCTCAACATGGCCACGCGATGCGAGTCGTGATCAATGGGCGAGTCGTTGGGCGTAACCAGAAGGGGAGACATTGAGAACGTGGTGCTGGTCTGATCTGAGGAAGGATAATCGAGAAGTCTTTGCCTGCTTCCGAATCTGTGATGAGATGAGGGTACCATTTCGGAATATCGTCCCACGAGGTCTCATGACCTCCCAGTCCTCTCTCACTTCAGTAATATGCTGCTGCCAGCTATCAAGACCAGTGCCTTCTCTTGTGGGCCACAAAGTCAATGATTCCAGTATGGCCCTCGTGATAGTACTGCTCTGTAGTCCTTCGGCGCGGTCGTAGCGACACGCATCTTGACGACCCCACAAGTGAAGCCATCACGACATCAAGGTCGATCTAAGGGTCCACCTCTTCAGAACCATCGGCAAGGTACAGACGCGAGCAGTGAGCTCGGCCATCGTTCACTGCGGACCCTGTCACTTTGCCCATGTGTGCCAGCGATTCGCGCCACCTGGGTCCTCCAGTGTTCCCAGCTAACCTCAGAACGACCCTTGACTCTGGCTGCCCCTCCCCCTCTTCCCCCCCAATCGTCATGAGCCCCTCCACATGGCACCCCTCCATCACTGTACGTGACCTATCTTGCCTCACTTGCCGACAGTGAGTTTGACCAACCGCCATGCACGTCTCCCACCACGGTGCCATCCTGTGAAGCATCAGTGCCCAGAATGGAAAGACGCGCTGCTAACCGTCACATGGCCTGGACTGGAAGCATGATATCTTGGGCACAGCCTGCACACACTCTTGACCTTAGCATCAAACAACTCCCTCTCCTTCTCCTCCTCTTACAATTCACCATGAGTTCTAGCACCAGCACCGGCACAAGCTCAAGCTCAAGCTCCAATACCGCCAACACAACCAAGCGCATCCGCCGCAAGCCCGCCAAATACCACTCCCCAGAGCTCAAGCCCGTTTGTTTTGGGAACGGCAAGCTTGATCAACTCCTCCAGCTTACTGCCCTCGTCCAAGAAGCACAGCAAGGGAGCGGCGTCAGGCTCTCACCGCAGCAACAATGTCTACGTCCCCCTTACTCCCCAAGCACGCCGCCGCGCCGCCGCGCTACCCGCCCCATGACAACGCCGTCTTCCCTACCTCCCTCGTCGGCAAGCGCATCCTCCTCTGCACCGAATCCTTCGGCCCCGTCAACGGTGTTAGCCGTACGACCCTCATGCTCGTCTCTCACCTCCGCGCCCACGGCGCGCGCGTCGCCGTCGTCGCGCCCCTGAACCACACGGAGGGGGCCACTCTGACGGGGCCCAGTGGCGATCAAAGTAAGAACGACGACGATAAGAACAGCCAGGATCCTCTCGTCGAAGTCCGCCTCCACGGCTACCCACTGCCCTTCAACCCCGAACTATCAGTCGTCTATCCCGTACGCGTCACGACGCTCTTCGCAAGAACCTTTGGCGCCGACGAGCCGCCAGACCTCATTTACCTCGCGTCGCCGGCGTCGCTGGGGTTCCAGGTCCTGCTGCAGATGCGGCAGCAGCCGTGGGAGAAGCGCGTGCCCGTCATCTGCAACTTCCAGACGGACCTCGCGGGCTACTGCGCCATCCTGTTCCCGCACCCGCTGAGCACCGTCGCCGTCTTCGCCTTCGCCATGGTGCAGAGCTACCTCTTCCGCCACAAGAGCGTGCGCACCATCTTCTACCCGTCGCGCTTCGTGCGCCGCTACCTCGAGGCCCAGGGCGTCCAGCGGTATAAGATGGACGTCCTCCGCCGTGGCGTCGACACGGCGCTCTTCCGCCCGGACCGCCGCAGCGACGCCCTGCGCCGCGCCATTGCGCCCAACGGCGAGATCATCCTGCTCTGCGTGTCGCGCGTCGCCGGCGAGAAGGGCTTTGACTTTCTCGCCAGGGCCACCGCGGCGCTGCGGGCGCGCGGGCTCAAGTTTGTGCTGTACGTCGTCGGCGGCAACCGCAACCGCGAGGTCGAGCGCGAGGTGCACGGGCTCTTCGACGGCCCGCTGCGCGACGAGGGCCGCGTCGTCTTTGCCGGGTTCAAGACGGGCGAGGACTTGGCGACGGCATACGCGTCGGGCGACGTCTTCCTGCACTGCTCCGTGACAGAGACATTTGGGCTCGTCGTGCTCGAGTCGATGGCCAGCGGTGTGCCTGTCGTGGCGCGTGACGAGGGGGGGCCGAGCGACATTATCGACGAGGGCCAGTGCGGTCACCTCGTGCCGGCGGAGGATCTGGACAGGTTTGTCGACCGTGTCATGGGGCTCGCCGAGGATAGAGGCGCGCGCGAGGAGATGGGCAGACGGGCGAGGGAGATGGCGTGCGAAGCGACGTGGGACAAGATCAACAACCAGGTGGCGTGGCGCATGGCCGACACGATCGAGGAGCGCGAGAAAGAGTTGGCGCAGTTGGCGCCGCCGGTCAGACACGCGCCGCTGTATCGCCAGACTAGTCAGTTGGCACCCATCTACGGGTGGCTGTCGACAAAGGAGGCCACACGCGAAGTCGTCACGTCTCGCATCGTCGATGCGAGGCTCGCCGGCGGATTCGGCGTTGTCATGACGTTTTGGGTCTTCACCGGGTTGTACCTGGCCCTGACCGAGGTTGGGCTTTGGGTGCGCGGTATGATGCCGCGAGGAGTCGGGAGGGCTTCTTCGGAGACGGACGGACGTTGACCAGTGGCTCGGGACGGGACGGGAGGGGAGGTCGGAACAAGGCGGTTATCTTGCTATCTCAGGAACAAATACTGACTCGGGAGCGGGTACTGGAGTGCGTCTTCTCGAAAGATTAATGATTCATGATATCATGGGGGTCAGTCCATTCGCAAGGTATAGCCATTTGGGTTGGGGGGAGAGAAAATCCCCTGATCAGGATTCTTTTGTCGTTGCGCGTTGGTGTTTGGTGTTCGATTACAGCGGACGATGACTTGTTGTGCTCGCTTTCTTTGTGTTCCATGGCTTCGAGATACCTCCATAGACCATGTCTCTCGCCACGGACATGACTCAGGCGCGAGATAAGAACGGCTGCATTGGTACATGAATGCGACTACCTCTTGATGATAGGGATGAAGAGACGTGCGCGGCGTGCATGATTCCAGGGTTGCATCAAGGGAGCCAGCCACCTGGTTTGGTCGTGCTGGTCCAAACAATGGCTCCCCATCCGTGTGCCTGTGTTTGGAGCCGGCAATGATTGCAAGTTAGGCCTGCAGTGTCCCCGTCCTAAGGCATGAACAGGGTCCATCGTATCAGAAGTAGTTGCTGCTTTGGGACGAGCACTCTTCGCGTTCGTCGCAACGTGGGGATGCCGGGGCATCCCGGGCTGGAGAGCGTGATTCCTCGAGTCGGTGTGATATCCATCTTGGGATCATTCTCGCACACACAAGCAGCGCAGGCCACAGGGATGCATTGTTGGACTCAAACGAAATTGGACGGCCTGTACAGGTCTGATTCCTCCATCACTTGACGTTCGGCTGCGGTCTTCTTATCTGCACAACAGGTAGGCCTGGTTGCGTAGATACGATTTCGATGCATCTTTGGTAGTCTCAGTGCAAGAATATAGTGGTCTTAATATGCACAACGAAGCTGCTTGTCGCGCTTCACTGGTCTGAGGGTCGCAGGCAGAGAGCTCGAAGGTTCACCCAGAAGCGGAAACCCCTGCGAACTGACATCAGCATTGGAGGCCATTCAGGAACCGCCAGTAGTTGAAAAGGCTAGATGGTCTTCACAGCATACTAGCTCTGTGGCGTTCTGATGGCCAGGTCGTCGGCCAGCATGATGGCACCGATATGTGTCGGTCGAGTCAGCATCAAAGCGGCTGGGCGAGGTTGGTAAAGTGTGCTTTGATGTTGGCAGTAGATCAACATCGAGGAGAGGGTGAACGAAGGAGCGACTGAGTGTTGGTGGCTGCTGTACAGGTAGGTTCATGGTGGCACAGACCATTCCAGCCACGCCAGCCAGCCAGCCAGTTGAATGCCAGGTACGTACCGATGTGGCCAAGGAACACTGGAAGGAGCAAATGGCGGGAGGGGCGAGTCGCAAGGGGCCAATGGCAAGCGAAAGCGGCAAAGGGCAAACGGCAAGGGCAAACGGCAAGGCGGCGGGTGGCTTGATCCTGCCTCCGACCGAGTCGGCAAAGCCGAAGAGGGAAAACACAAACAAGCATCACCAATTCGTCTTTGCATTGCATCTCCCCGTCTCTCGCTTCGAATTATGCCCATCAACTCATCAACCCCCATCGACTTGTCATCTCCCGCTGTCAAGACCCTCGGCCCAAAGGCTCGGAAACACGACATGGCTCCGCTTTCTCCAGACATCGACCCATCCTGCGCTGCAGCTTGACAACCCGCGTGCCTCCCAGAGACGCATCCACCAGAAACAAAAAAGGCCAGACCCGCTCTTTGAGTAATACTGCTGTGTCTGCAGATCCCGCATATCATCGACAATTCGTTGTTTCTGACTCGCCGGTCCTCGGAGACGTCGACATGCCACCTCTCAGCGCCCCTCTGCGCTTGACCCGCCGGCACATGGCTGCCATGGGACCAGACCCTGTTTGTGCTTCCCCGCGAGTCACGACCATGGATAATCATTCCTCAGCCAGTTACGAAGCATCCCCGGATTCGTTCCTCCATCCTTATCTCGCGCCTCCGTAGCCTCTCATTGGCCTGGCATTTCAACGACTCTGCCCTCTGAGTGATGCTTCTGCCCTGCGAGTCTTTTGTCCTTGGGGATGACCCCTCGAACCCAAGGAACACGTCCAGAAACGCGACCAAAGTCAATTCCCTTCCAGACAAAAGCCACGCCCGCCGCCCCCGACGGCTTTCCCCAGCGCCCGGCGGCGCACGCTGGCCGATGAAGCTTTGGCCCGCCTTGCTGTCACCGCTCTGACTGGCTCCCGTGGCCGCTCGCTACCCTCATTGGCGGCGCCGAAGCCGCCATCTATCAAAGAACCCCCCCTCTCTAGCCTTATCTCTCTCTCTCTCTCTTTCTCTCTTTCGCGCACCCAAGCGCGCCATGGCAGATATCGATCCCGTCCCCAGTCCCCGAGCTGATACGACCCGCTTGTCTTATTCCGGCTCTGCGGCCAAGAAGCGAGGCCGATGATGGAGGGGGAGGGGGGCCTGGACGATGCAGAGAGCCGAACATACTTCCATGAGGGAGAAGAAGACGACTTAAAAGCCTCCCAGAGGCCCCGTTGAATCTGAAGAGGGTCGTTGTTACTCGTGCTCAGGCTAGTGCTCTCAACGACGACTTCTCACGATCTACGCCTCCCCTCTCGAACCAGGCTTTTTACTCGGCCAGCCGCTCAGCAACTCACCCACCCACGCAGCCGTCGCACATCGCCCACCTCCCACCATGGTTGACTGGAAGGCATGGTGGTCGCCCGCCCCCTCGCTCGACATCCCGGGCCTCGAGACGGTCGACCTCGCCGACAAGGCCATGGAGCGCCGCATCGTCCGCAAGCAGGACCTTCACATCCTGCCCTGGGTCTGCGTCTCCTACCTTCTGAGTATGTCGCCCGTGTCTCCAGAACGGCCCTTTTGCTCCCCCCGCTAACACCTCAGACTACCTTGATCGAGTCAACCTCGGAAACGCTCGCACATTGAACAACGACACGCCCGAAGACAACATTGTCACGCAGCTCAACCTCACCGGCCAGCGCTACAATGTCGCTGTCGCCCTCTTTTTCGTGCCTTACGTCCTCATGGAGTTCCCCTCCAACATCCTCCTCAAGTACTTCTCGCCCTCGCGCTGGATCTCCCGCATCATGGTCTCCTGGGGCATCATCACCATCTGCACCGCTGCCGTCTCCACCTACGGCGGCCTCATCACCGTCCGCATCTTTCTGGGTCTCGCCGAGGCTGGTTTCTTCCCCGGTATCATGATGTACCTCTGCTTCTGGTACAAGCCCGACGAGCGCGCCACGCGCATGGCCATCTTCGCGTCCTCCGTTGCCGTCGCCGGTGCCTTTGGCGGCCTTCTCGCCACGGCCATCTCCTTCCTCAACAACAAGGGCGGTCTCAACGGCTGGCAGTGGCTCTTCATCCTCGAGGGCATCCCCTCCGTCATTGTCGGCGTCCTCATCTGGTTCTACCTGCCCGACTACCCCCAGACCGCCGCCTGGCTCACTCCCGAGGAGCGCGCCTTCGCCGTCAAGCGCCTCGGCCCCTACGCCCCATCCATGACCGACAAGCACTGGGACAGCACTGTCGCCAAGGAGACCCTCTCGAACCCCATGTTCTGGCTGTTTGCCTGCCAGTACTTCCTCATGGCCAACTCTCTCAACGCCTTTGGCTACTTTGCGCCCACCATTGTCGCCTCGCTCGGCTTCTCGGGCCACAACGCCCAGCTGCTCACCGTCCCGCCCAACGTCGTCGCCATGATTGTCATCATCAGCAACTGTCTGCACTCTGATCGGACAAGGGAGCGCTCGCGCCACGTCATTGGCGCTCTCGTCTTCGTCGGCACCGGCTACCTATTGCTCGCTGTCGTCCGTCACTGGGGTGTGCGCTACTTTGCCGTCTGCATCATTGCTTGCACCAACGCTGCTGTCCTGCCCTTTGTCGCTGTAAGTTCTCGCCCTATCGTGCTCGCTTGGCCGGTCCATCCACTAACAAAATCCAGCACCGCACGGCCACCGTGTCCGGCTCGACTGCCACGGCCCTCGCCACGGGTGGCATGATCGCCATCTCCAACTGTGGCGGTATCTCGGCCCCCTTCCTGTTCCCCAAAGTCGACGGCCCCATGTACTCCATGGGCAACTGGACAATTTTTGCCTTCCTCATTGTCGCCGCCTGCATGACCTGCTTCACCTGGTACATGTACGGTAGCCATGCCGGGTACCGCACAGGTGCGCGTGATGAGAATGGCAACCTTGAGGTTCTTGATGCCACCTCGGGTGACCCTGATGAGATCATGAACAAGGCCATGGGTCTCGAGAAGAAGAAGGACCTGCAACAGGATGTGTAACTTGAACGACGGCATGACTTGTTTTTAGCGTAGCGATCAAAAGTCTTTAGCGGAAGGCCTTCGCGCCTCGGAATGTATGATGATTGACAGTGGCTTGCCTTGATTCTTGAGCTCGCTATTGATATGCTGTGAAATATTGCCTGAAGTGCGTGTTATGACATCACGTTAGTTCACAAATACCTTGCCAAAGGAACAAGGGGTGTACGAGCCATTCAGTGCGCCTCAAATGTTGGTATCGGGGGCCCATGGCTTGGAGACCCGGATGATTGCCCGAAGTCTGCATGCTTGGCCGATCTACGTCCCATTGAGGCGTTAGAGGTTGGCATTGACGTACGTCTTCCCCCCCGCGCATCGCCATGATGCAGGCTATATCATCAGGCTCCACATCAATCAGGACCTGGCAGCGTGTTCTTCACGAATTGTAGCGTCTAGGCATTGCCTTCTTCGACAAGACGGGCTGTGTTGGCGAGGCCACGTCGGCGGACGTCTAGGACTCGCGACTTCTATGTAGAGGACCGGAACCCCCTCGATTCAACATGTTTGGGAAGCCCAGGCGGCACCTACCTCAGGCACCTCGTCAGGATTTCATGCTGGAATGATAAGTCCATGACTTTACATACGACTCAGACAACGTGCCAGTCGCGAACCGAACGGTTCGACTGTTGCTGAGACTTGACGGATGATATGCAAGAGTTTCCCAGAGACGAGTCTCGTGGCCAGCAGATCATGATAGCGGCTCGTTGGATGATGGCCCGTTCAAATCTGGGGAATGATGGCGATAGAAAATCTGCGGTGGCGATGGTCCAACGTTTCGAGGCGACGACCAATCGAGGAAGGCATCGTATGCTGCCTTCAATGGGGTAAGACGAAATCGTAAGGGCCGGATTTACTCGGATGCCATACAAGATCATGCGAGATACGACAATTACTGGCTTTTGTGGGCACGTGTTTTCCCCCAGACGCTCTCGATTTCAAACGTCTTGGGTGCCGCACCCAAGGCAATCCAACTTGTTTGATCAAGTTCTCAGGAGATGATGAATTGCGTTTCAACGCATCGACTTTGCAAGGTACACTCATCAGAAACGCTGTCAGCGAGGCGCTTCGTGAGATGGGTTGCCATGTTGCTTTGTACTGCGCGGAGAGCGAGTGGCAGAAAATGGGAAGATCACTGTAAGCTTCACGGTGCAGCTCGTGGCCAGCAAAGAAACATTTTCGTTCAACTCCATCCACATCACTGGCCACTATTGACATTTGGCAGCCGTTTCAAAATTCCAGGAGGCCGTTGTTTCGTGTCATGACCCCTACTTCGTCTGAGGTTCGAGACACGACATCGTCCCGCCAAGTGGAGCCGTTGCGACATCAAAGCAGGAGGTCTGAGATGCGAGCTCTCGCTGAAGCTGCGAAGCTCTGTCTTCCCTCAATCCGACCAGACTTCCCGCTGACCCAAGTTTCGATCCGACCAAGTACAGACGAGCCACAGATACTGCAACCGGAGCCGACCATGGACTCTCAACCGCTGACTTACCAGGACCTCTCACCCAGAGACGAGCACGACGAGTCATCGTCCGCGACTGAAGTCGAGTCGGTGTTGCTGAATGAGAAGGACCGCGAATGGCATGATGTGCTCCTCGACCCGCCTACCAGCACACGAGCTGCATCATCTCTGTCGGCACGGTGGCGGAGACACCACTGGATCGTCAATACCGTGTTGGTCTTGTTCAATGTCGTCTTGTCCATGGTGTTACTGTGGAAAGTCGCAGGCGCACCGTCAACATCAATACGACAGGTCGGCGGGGACCTCATCGCTGACCGTCCACCGAATTGTTCGCTGCTTCAGATCCTCCGTACTGCTTCGCATGACTGACACTAACCTGAACAGTCGCCACGAAGGTGATCAAATGGGAGTCTGATCCCTCATTTGTTCCCAATAACACCGCCGAGTTCTTTGAACAGCAAACAGTCGACAAATGGCAATCCCTCCTGCCAGGTACGTGGAACCTCATCAAATAGTTGCTGCTAGGCGAACTTGCTGATGATCAAACAGTGAACGCACATCGCGGCGATGGCGAGACATTTTCAACAACGTCCATGACGCATCAGCTCCACTGTCTGGTCAGTTCACGGCGTCACGTAGTAGCCTACACACAACACTGATACATCGTGTAGTTTATGATGGGTCGCGTCTACGCCGGCGTGACGGAGAGCAGGACCGCGGAGCTGCCGGCAGACTATCATGCTCACTTTCTGCACTGCATAGACTACATAAGACAGGGCATCATGTGTTCCGGGGATGTCGCTTTAGAGCCACACACTCCAGACGACGCAGATGATTTGGGGGCAAAGGATGGAGGGTGGAATGGACTTCATGGTGAGTGACCGGCATGCCGAAGATGAATATGACTACTGACGACTTCAAGTCTGCAAGGACTATAGACAAGTTTTGGAGTACCTGGAAGGTAAGCACTGCACGGCTCGCCGTACAGAACGGCGCTGACATGGCACAGAGCAAATACAAGAGGGTGGACGAACGGTGCTGCCCATTGATGATTGACGACATGTATAGAAGTAGCGTGCTCATTGACAGAATCAAGAGCAAAGTCCAGTTCTGACCATCATTTCTGTGGCTGTATACACAGAACCGCAGGCTTACCGGGTTGTGGTCTGCAACGCGCCGGTTAATGTTGTCCAAGCCTCCTCGACTTCCACAGGAACATCCACATGTCCGATGAATCCCTTTCCCCTAGGTCCATAACCGTTCTCATCATCCCTCAATCTCGGGATTTCTCCAACCAGTAGATCCAGAAATCGCCGCATTTCCCACAATCCCGCCTTCCGCACACCCGTCGGACCAGTGTCATCAAACTCAAAATGCGCAATACCATGTTCGACACAGTCAGACGGCTCGACTGATGCATGTCTGAGCGTGACAACCGGCACAAAAGTTGGCCATGTCACAACGACAGGCCCCTTCCTGATTCCCTCGTACGCCTTTTCAAAACATGCCGCAGTACGCCTGCTCATCGTGGCATCCTGCACCACGACAATGGACCGCGGAGACGTCAATCCCCTCGCATCCAGAACTTGTTTGGTCTCGAGCGCATTTGCGCCGCAGTTCGTTGACTTGTCCTCGACTATGATCGTCGGTGCAAAGGCCTCCGGCGGCACGGCCAAGTCACAATCGTCACGCGTCTTCACCGTCAGCCCAAACCAGCGCTCTGCAATCATCTGGAGGACGCGCGCCTCGGGTGGCTGGCCGTCAAGTGCATCGGCCAAAACGCGATAGCGAGGATGTCGTCGTACAGCAGCGTACATGAGAGGCGTCGAGTGGCCAATGCCGCCGCATATGACAAGGATGAGATTTCTGATGTCCAGGAATTTTGAGGTTAGCTTTCACAGGCGCAGCCTTTGCGAGCTCTTCTTGCTCGACCTACCGTTGCCTCAGAACCGGATCAGCTCCCGATAGGGCCGAGAAGACATCTTCGCCTAGGGACAGGATGGCTGAGCCGCACAGGACGACGACGTCGAACTGGGGGTTGGTCTGCGCAGATGTATTGGGGCTTGTGGGGAGGGAGTCGAAGAAACGATTGACAGCGGCTGCGTCGCGGAGCTGCTCGTGGGCGAGGAACGAGGAGAGAGTGTTGATGGGGCGGAGGGTCAGCAGACTCATTTCGAAATTTATGGTCATGCTTCAGTACACGTCTGAGCACGAAGAGTTGAATACCCCAGTATGCGTGATGGGGGTTGACAGTAGAGATCCGTCGATGGGCCTGGATCGGGAACCGACTCCGGTTTCTCGCCGATCAAGGCGCTCAGTGCCAATACAGCGCCTGTAAATATGAAAATCGGCTCGGGCCGAACATGTGCTGCGACTCTCATACCCCTCACCCACACCTCCAAATCATCCTCATGGGCGACGCTGCCGATTCCGCCTCGCACCAGCGGCTCGACGCTTGGGTCGACGCTCACTTTGACGAAGAAATCAGCTTCCTCCAGAGCCTGGTCCGTCTGCCCACGGACACACCCAAAGGCAACAATGCGCCCCACGCAGAGTTGACGGCCGAACTGCTGCGCACTTTCGGCCTCGAAGCCGAGCGCCATCCCGTGCCGGAGGCAGAGGTTCGCGCCTACGGCATGGAGTCCATCACCAATCTCATCGTGCGCCGCCGCTACGGCCCCGGCGGCCGAACGATCGCCCTCAACGCTCACGGCGATGTCGTTCCTCCCGGCGAGGGCTGGACCCGCGACCCGTACGCTGCGGTCGTGGAAGATGGAGTCATGTACGGCCGTGCCACCGCCGTCAGCAAAAGCGACTTTGCGAGCTTCACGTTTGCGGTGCGCGCCCTCGAATCGCTGGGCGCCACGCTCAAGGGCGCCATCGAGCTGCATTTCACCTACGACGAGGAGTTTGGCGGCGAGCTGGGTCCGGGCTGGCTGCTGCGCCAGGGCCTGACCAAACCCGACCTGCTCATCGCCGCGGGCTTCTCGTACCAAGTCGTCACTGCCCACAACGGCTGTTTGCAGATGGAGGTCACGGTCCACGGCAAGCAGGCCCATGCCGCCATCCCGGAGACGGGCGTCGACGCGCTGCAGGGGGCCGTGGCGATCCTCAACGCGCTCTACGCGCTGAATGCGCAGTACCGCGAGATACGATCACAGGTCGAAGGCATCACGCACCCATATCTCAACGTGGGGCGTATCGAGGGCGGTACGAACACAAACGTCGTACCCGGCAAGGTGACCTTCAAGCTCGACCGGCGCATGATCCCCGAGGAAAATCCCGTCGAGGTCGAGGCTGAGATTCGTCGGACAATTGAGGGAGCGGCAGCCAGTGTGGCCGGCGTAACCGTAGATCTGCGCCGACTCCTCCTCGCCAAATCGATGCGCCCGCTGCCAGGGACCACACCGTTGGTGGAAGCTATCCAGACGCACACTGAGCGTGTCTTTGGGGAGGCCGCGCCGGCGATTGGGACACCACTTTACACCGACGTGCGACTCTATGCGGAGGCGGGCATTCCTGGTGTCATCTACGGCGCCGGCCCGCGGACGGTGCTCGAATCGCATGCCAAGCGAGCGGACGAGCGGCTGCAGCTCGAGGACCTGAGGCATGCAACCAAGGTCATCGCGCGAAGTTTGCTTGATCTGTTGGTCTAGTTGCATTCATAGAAGGCTAGGAAAAGATTTGTACTGATTAAGTTGCTTACACTTGCTGAGTAGAGGGCAAAGAGCTGCCTTTTCACGCTTCGCAGTAATTCACATGTCACGTCCTGATAACTCGAGCAAGAGGCCTACGAGGTCGATTCAATCAGCCCTCGAATTTGAAGGATATGGATCTAAGAAAGCATGCAATCAGATGTTGCCTCTAAGTACTTATGCTTCAGCCATAATAGCGCGGCCCGGTGGAATCACTCGCGTCGCCATGGTATGCATGATCAGGCTTTTGGTGCAGACTACAGCGACTGTCATCTTGCTTCATCATGATGTCAGCTCACGCATCCTTGGTCCCGTACATGCACTGATCCTGCAACTCTGGAATCCTACCACCAAGACGCGGCATTCTCTAAATGGCCCAGCCTGACGGTTGCCTAATCAATCATGCAGAACGAATACGCTAGCTTCAACGCCATTAAATACATATATCCATCGTGACCCTCTCCCCACGCGCGACTTCATTGGGAACGAGCCATTCCTCCGCTGGGCGGCTTCACAACACCAAGTGACCAACACGCAATGCCGGTAACAACGCGCGCACAGGAGTCAAGAGCCCGCGCCGAGACTTGTCCTATACTACATCTCAGCACTGAGATCCATCTCCTCATCCTTCATCATCTTCTGCCCTCGATCGAGTCAATCCACGCCGTCTCCAAGACGTGCAAAAAGCTCTACGATGTCGCGCTCAACCTCACAGTGCACACGTTTCGTTATCTCGGCGGAGAAAGCCGCTTCGAAGATGATCTTGACCGCTTCACCGCCAGGACCATGCAGTTCGTTCGCTATGTGACCATCACCAAGCCGCACCTAGCCCAACACGTTAAGTGCGTGGTCCTTGGCCAGCTCAATAACGAAGGCTGGGGCCAGCTGAACAAGTCTAGGGCGCCGAGGGGCAAGGAACTGGCTCTTTATGAAGGCTTGATTGAGAGCACGTTCACCGAAGCAGACGGCGAAGACTGGAAGCTCTGGCGGTCCCAGTGGCTGGCAGGGCTGGCGAAGCTGTCTGAAGACGCGGAAGTCGCCCTGGTCCTTGTCGCGTGCCCCAAAATCGAAGTTCTCCTGATGGAAGAATCGATCGAACCGGAGATACTCAAGCGCGTCATCAACGTGGCAGGGCAAAGAGGCGCAAAGAGCTCGAGCCCGGGCAGCTCGACCGAAGTAGAGGCTCCGCTACGCCACTTGAAGGAGCTGTATATGGAATCGGGCGAGTTCAAGTATGGCCACTGTTCGTTTATGGACTTTGCCCAGGCGTTTCACATTCCAAGCCTGCGATCCTTCGAGGTTGTACGAGCCAACGGCGAAGACTTTCGTGCCGAAGATTTCGAAGCCTTGCCCAAGCGGTCCTCGAACGTAGAGGAGATCATCCTGCGGGCGTCCTGCATTACGCCAAAGGTACTCAAAGCCATGACCGCCTTGCCGAGGGCCCTGGTGTCGTTCGAGTACACGAGAGGGGTTTACCATATGTACGATGTGGAGATGAAGCCGCGAGACCTAGTCGAGGCCGTGGTCCGCCATGCCGCTTCGCTTGAGAATCTGCACATCAACTCGGAAGATGACTTGCCCACCGGAGGAAGTCCAGAGACTTTCGTCATGGGCCTTGGCCTGAGGAGATTGTCAGCATTGAAGCAGCTGGCCGCCGGTATGCAGGCCTTGACGGGAACACGCAACCCTTATCCTCCTCAGAATGAGAACATGAACTACGATCATCTCCCCGAGGTCGTCGAAGATTCGCCGAGGATGGTCGAATGTCTGCCGGAGAATCTCGAGTTCTTGCAGATTCAAGCCTGTGGCAAGCCTGTCCTGCCCCACGCCCAGGAACTCTTAGACGCGCGCGCCGCTGGCCGGTTTCCACGACTTCGACATGTGCGGCTGTTGTTTAATAAGGAGCTCATCTCGTCCGACGACATTGATCTGCACTATGATGAAGGCCTTCTTCGAGTGGAGGTCTTTCTTCAGTCGGACGAAAATAGACTCTACGACCTCATCCAGATCGTGGGTCGAAAATCCTTAGCAGCCTGCACGCGCATTTACTCCTACGATATTCGGGAGAGATGGCTAAAGTACAGGTACCATGATGTTGCGCGTGCAAGGGTCAATGACGGGGTTTTATACGAGCCAGGCCCAGGGGGGATGACGGAAGAGAAGCCCAAGCTACCGTGAGATGGCGTGCGTATTCATGTCTAGATCGGGTGTCATTATAGGCTTTTGAGCCAAGTTCAAATTGACGTTCTCCTGATGTGACATGTAAGTCATGCCCTCGTACTCAAAGGTGCCATGGCCAAGGTTGGGTCGTGATCGTGCAGCACGTTCCACATACTAACCAATGCGGGCTGAGGGCCATGTTGGTTCAAGGGGCGCGCGTAGTTCGAAGTTTGGCTAGAAGACCACATCTGTGCTGAAGTAAACCCGTACAATCACAAAGTTTGTAGAGCGTCCGAATATTTCTGGACGAGGTTGACGACGACAAACCTCAACACGACTCAAATAAAGTCCATTCCAATCGCGATTGCGAAGCTAGAGACACGTGGGTAGTAAAGATTGCCCCCTCCCTGAGAAGCCAAGGTAAAAAAAAACCACAACGCATCAAGATGGTTCGACTATCAGCCAAGGATCCCATATCTTATGCGAGGGACAGACTTGACGTCAATACACCGAGTTATCACCTCGTGGCGACGTCTGGCGCACGCAACAAAAGCAAAGCCCAAAGCCTAGCCACGTTTGCACAGGGCAGGCAAACTGCGTAAACCGCGAAGGGGTCCAGTGCGCGAGGTCGGTCAACAGAAAACAAACCCTGGAGACTGGGCATTGCGCGCCCAGCAACGCCTCTCGCAAGTTAGTCGACAAGACGTCAAGCAAGGGGTGCAAAGACAAGATTCAGGGCGCCCGACGTCAGCAACGTGGCGGAAACTCCGAGGCGGGACGCGGTCGGTGCCATTAGGTGAGCCCTCAAGGCATCACCACCTCATGAGCCAAGAGGTTTCACGAGCCCATGAAACAGCTTGACGGAAAGTTTCTCTTCAGCTTGGTTGATCAAGTGATTTTCGGAGAAAAAAGCTCGTCATGTATGCCAACGAACCAACTCTGACTCTCGCTGTCTCGCTCGACGAAAGTAATCACGACAACGCCGTCGCCACAAAATCTGTCAGATCCTACACAATCCCACCAAACCAGCGCCATCGCGACGGGCTAACAGCACACGCAGGCGGGCCCCTCTCGAGACGTGTCGTCCCCTTGCTTCTGCGGTGGATGGAGCTTATCGAGTCTCTTACTGCGTACTACCCGTCTTGGAAACACGGGCGAAGATCGAAACGAAATCCACCCACGCCATTCGAGCGTGCTGCGCGAAACAAACGGCTGCCATGTTGATCATATGCACGTACTTGTGGACAATAGAGAAGAAGAAGAAAAAAACAAGAGACGACGTGTGTTTGGAAGCTGAGCCGCAGGGCCTGCCGGGAA